TATATGTACCACATCTTCTTTATCCATTCATCTACTGATGAACATTTAGGTTGCTTCCATATCTTGGCTATTGTAAATAGTGCAGCAATAAACACAGGGGTGCATCTGTCTTTTTCAAACTGGAGTGCTGCATTCTTAGGGTAAATTCCTAGAAGTGGAATTCCTGGGTCAAATGGTATTTCTATTTTGAGCATTTTGAGGAAGCTCCATACTGCTTTCCACAATGGTTGAACTAATTTACGTACATATACTAATTTATATTTTTAAAAGATCATCGTGGTTGCTCTGTGGAGAATATATGGCAAGAGGTGAAGAAAATAAGAAATAAATGTAGGGAATCTACGAGGTGTAGTGCCTAAGGCTTTTCCATGACCTGAAGTGTCGCTACAGGCTACCCAGCTTTCTTCCTCCATGCCCATGCTGAAGGAACTGTATGAACCAAGACATGGAGACAGTCAAAGGGAGGAAGCCCCATAGCAAGAACCGAGCCGTGTTTGCCCTGCATGACAGAACAGTGGGCCTGGAGGACAGGTCTTTGATGCACCTCAACACCCAAAAAGCAAATAACCCGATTAACAAATGGGCAGAGTATATGAAGAGACAGTTCTCCAAAGAAGAAATTCAGACGGCCAACAGACACATGAAAAGATGCTCCACATCAATAATCATCAGGGAAATGCAAATTAAATCCACAATGAGATATGAGATATCACCTCATACCAGTTAAGATGACCAGCATGGAAAAAGACTAAGAACAACAAATGATGGCAAGGATGCGGAGAAAGGGAAACCCTCCTACACTGCTGGTGGGAATGTAAGCTAGTTCAACCATAGTGGAAAGCAATATGGAGGTTCCTCAAAAAACTAAAAAGAGAAATACCATTTGACCCCAGAATCCCACTTCTTGGAATATACCCAAAGAATACAACTTCTCAGATTCAAAACGACAGATGCACCCCTATGTTTATCGCAGCACTTTTTACAATAGCCAAGATATGGATGCAACTTAAGTGTCCATCTGTAGATGAATGGATAAAGAAGATGTGGTACATATATACAATGGAATAATATTCAGCCATAAGAAAGAAACAAATCCTACCATTTGCAACAACCTGGACAGAGCTGGAGGACATTATGCTCAGTGAAATAAGCCAGGCGGAGGAAGACAAATGCCAAATGATTTCCCTCATTTGTGTAGTATAACAATGAAGCAAAACTGAGGGAACACAATTGCAGCAGACTCAGAGACTCCAAGAATGAACTAGTGGTTACCAAAGGGGAGGGGTGTGGAAGGGTGGGTGGGGAGGGAGGGAGAAGGGGACTGAGGGGTATTATGCTTAGTACACATGGTGTGGGGGATTGTGGGGAGAACAGTGTAACACAGAAAAGGCACATAGTGGATCTCTGGCAACTTGCTGCACTGATGGACTGACCGCATTGGGGTATGGGTGGGGACTTGATAATATGGGTAAATGTAGTTAACAACATTGTTTTTTCATGAGAAACCTTCATAAGAGTGTATATTAATCCTACCTTAATAAAAAATTAAATAAAAAAAAAAAAGATTTCCCAGCTAAAACTCAACATGGTCCTGATGTAGGCTGGCATTCTACATGGCCCTCCCTCTCACCCAGCCCCAATTCTACCACTTTGTTTGCCTTCACCTCTCTTCTACTCCTGGTGCAGTGGAACATTTGGATGCTGTCATAGTCATACATTATTTGTAGGTATCATTTTCATTTTCATTCTTCTGTTCACAACAAATCTACCAAAACAGATGGATACTGGCCCAGGCGCAAGAACTTGGCTTTAAACCTAGCTTTGCTATTGAGCTGTGTGGTCCTGCATATGTCATTTAATCTTTTCTGGCCCAAACTTTTTTACCTTGAAAAGGGGGACTATCAGTTATGCTAATGACAGTTAACTTCAAGAAACTGATGAAAACTATGGGCCCATTTCTCAGATTAGAATCTGCACATACAAAACCTATAAACTTCAAGAGATTCACAAATTCCTTTCAAGCCCATCTATGAACATTTTAAGGCAGTGTTCCTTAAAATGTGTACAAGATCACCTCAAGTGCTTGTCCGAGGCCCATCCCAAGAGGTTTTGATTCACCATGTGTCTGGTATTTAGGCCCAATAATTCACATTTTTTTTACAAAGTACTCTAGGTGATTCTGATGTAGGTGGCCCATGCCACACCATCATATGTAGAGAAACAAAATAGCAGGTAAGGGGAGGACTCTGCCATGATGTAAGGAAACACAGTGCTTAAGGCATGCTTGCATCTCAAGTTAAAAACTTTTGGACTAGTTGCTCACTAAAATTCATTCTAGACCTGAAGTTCTGCCTCTTTCTTCGTGGGCCTGTGTCACTGAGACAGGATAATAAATAAAAGCTGACTTTCTGGTCTTAAGTCTCAATGATTCCTAGTGCCATTAACACAAACAGAAAGACCTGAATTGTCATATTTGAGTAGGGAAATTGGTATTAAAGGTATTTGTTTCAAAAGGGAAAGAAAAAGTTTGAGGGATATTTACAACTTGGTAATTAAATGTTTGTAAAATCCAAATCAAATCTCAAGTCTGTTCTAAAGAAAGGTAGGGTAACCATGGGTCTCTAAACTGAAACTCTTAAAGACACCACTCACAGCAACAGGTTCAACGTGAATACAAAAAGTTTTCTTCCGGTACACAAAAAGTTAAGAAGTATTTGCAAAATAACAGTATATGAAAATCACAGAGCAACAACTTGAACTAATAAATCCCGGTTTATTTACTGTTATTATGCACTTCTATTATCACAGAAGCAGAGAGGATGAACATGTTCTCTTAGGTTTTATTCGGCACCCACAACTTTCGTGGCACTTTGCATAAAGCATTTTCCTTAATCCTCTATGAGAGAAGTATCACTTTCACTGTATAAAGTGACACCCCAAAGATTTACAATTAATTAAGTAACCTGGTATATACAAATCTGGCCTCTTAACCTGATTTTTTTGTTGAGGATCTCCCGTCGCCCTTCTACCTATCATCTCCACCCCACACACCTGTGTCAATTTCCACACGCGTCCTCCAACTCCTTTCAACCATCCCAGAAATGGGATGCATTTCTCCAGTAGATCCACCAGTCCTGGATCCTCGCCTCGGTTTTCCCAGGCAGGAAAGGGCGGGAGGAGAGAACGGGGCGGATAAAGGAGGGGGTGAGCCTCGCCCCGGCCTGAAGCCCCACAACGTCGCCCTTGGGTGGCTGGGGAGCAGAGCATTGGAGCAGAAACCCGGCTCCCTCCTCACCCTTCCTCGGGGACTGCCTCCTTGGTACTCACAATGTCGAAACCAGGTCGCGGCAAGGGCTTGTGGCCCGGCCCGCCCTGGGTTTCCGACAGCAAAAGGTAAAATTTTCTACAGCGGTCCTGCACCTGCAAGGTGCCCGCCGCAACCTGCAATCTGAGTGCCAGACGTAACTGTGGAAAACGAGAGGAAACGGCAGCAATATTTTACCTCATCCTGCTCGGGCCTGGCCGCTTCCGGCCTTTCCGCATCGCCCATCGCGCAGACTCCGCCAGAGCTACGGGCGCTGAGGAAACCGGGCGCAGCAGGCCACCTCCAACTGGGTCAGTACCCAGGTGGCCGGCGGTCCGCGGAGTCCGCCCCGCCCGAGCGGCAGAGACCCCCCTCCTACTCTGGCCTGCCGGCTTTCCCGCGGGTTGATTGAGGGACTGCCGGGACCCCGCCCTGACCCCACCTCCCCCACCTCAGGGGCACGCCTATTCCTCCTGGCCCCGCCCACAACGCTGCGCCTGCCTCGCCTCCCGCCTGCAGCCTGAACACCTCTCGGCCTTGGTCAATTCCGCCCACCCGATTGCGCCGGCCCCGCCTCCCCCGCCTCAGAGACCCGCCCGTTCCGGCCGGCACCGCCCCTCCGCGCCGGTCCCCGCCTCTCGCCCACCGGGTGTGGACTCGCTCGCAGCTTGCTGGTCTCGCTTCCCGGCCTGCGACCTGAGAGAGACCGGGCCTGCAGCTTTCGGCCCCGTCCGCCTGGCCAGCCCCGGGCCCTCCTCGCCTGGTACCGGAGGACCCGGACAGGCCCGGTCACCCCTCCAGGACGAGATTCCCCAGCTGGCCGTCGCCCCGCCTCGGGAGCACGGTCTGTCGCTCTAACTGGGCCTGTCCTGAGAGACTGCAGGTGGCGGGAAGACCGCACACGGAATGAGAGAAGTCGCTGTTCGTGTGTGTGAGGCGGTGATGGAAAAAGCCGCACCGTTAAAATATTAATGAAGAGGAAAAGCTGTCTTGTGCTGTATTTAAGCAACCCAAAAGAAGTGGTTAAGGGTAAGTGTGTGAATGGGTTAGGTGGGCTTGAGAGTGAGAAGGAAAGGGAAAAATGACCAAATTCAGGACAATAATGTGAAAGTTCTGTGAAATTGTTTCAACAAACTAAGCATTTAGTAGTATTTATTGAGCTCTCTACTAAGCACCTTATATGAATCAATTCCTTTCATCTTAAGAACATCCCTGTGTGGTAGACATAGCCAATGTTCTTCGTCTTACGGATGAAGAAACTCAATCTCAGGATAAATAAGATTACTCAGCTAAAAAGTAATAGATTCCACAGTCTCCCTGCTGAATGAATGTTCTTTTGAGGGCCAAAAGCTGAAGTAATGGAGAGAGGAAATACTCCTGTGTGATGGTTACTGATGGTCACAATAATTTGGTTGAACAACTAATACCCATCTCTCAGGGGAACTATCTAAAGGTAACTATAACAGAATGAAAAAAGTTTGGTTTAACAAACAAAATTAAGGTGAAAGATTTGTTTAAGTAGCTTGAAACAAATATGGAGGGAGGGAACTCATCATGCCTTGAACAACGTGCACCTGTTTTGTGGGGCTGTGTAAAGAATGGTAAAGTAGGATGGGAAAAATAAGCTTTGAAAATGACTGAAAGCTCTTTCAAAAACCTGCCCTAGTCGGGGATGACAGTGATCCTTTCTTAGGTGACTACTAGGGGTCAGGGGCTGAGTAAAATTTTTTGCATTCATTAAAGTAATAGTTAATTTCAGGAAGAAACAGCCTTAAGTTAGATATTTAATCATAGGCCACATGGCAAATGAACTAAGAGCAAGGTTTCTATCATTTAAAATTATCATATAATATGTCAACTATATGTCAGGCATTGTATTTGGTATTGAAGTTACAAAGACGGGCTTAGTGAAAAAGAACATGGCTCCTGGAGCGTATCAGCATGGGAATGAATTCCAGCTCTGCCATTTATTAGCTGTGTTACCTTGGACAAGTTGCTTAGTCTCTCTGAGACTCAGTTTCCTCACCTGTAAGATGAGAATAATAATTCCTTCCTCATAAGATTGTTGTGTAGATTATTAATAATACTGTAAAGCACTTATTTGGGGGGGGATTACAATGGTAGCTTCTGAGTATGCTATGAATCAGGCCATTTTAGAGGCTATGGAATAGAAAGGCTCAGATCAAATTGAGTTGCTTGAATTGCACGGCTTATTAATTTAAAACATACATCAAAGGGAAAGTGATGGGTTAACCAACATTTAAGATAAGATATAAAGAGGGGAAAGAGTGGAAGCACCTTACCATCCAAATCATACTGTTACTCAATTCATATATCCTGTCTTCTCTGCATCGGCCTTCCTGGTTGGAGGTATAGTTATGAAGACCAGAATTGAGAATAAGCAAGGGGTCTCAGCAGATAAAAGAAGAGCCAGCACACTTGCTCTTATAGTGAGATGCAGGAGCAAGTAGGCCTGGTCACGGGTGTAACTTGCCACAGATTAGCCTGCTGAACAGCTGTGAGTTTTATCTGTTTCTTGGGAAGAGCCTATGTGGGGCCAGAATGGATGTCACCAACTGGTGGCTGATTTAAGAATAACATTAGTTGTCAGGCCACAAGTGACACGATCCTTTCTTGTGAATATTTAAAATTTACTTGATCCTTCCAGCCTTTTCTATCTGTGATGCTCTCATTTGTTCCAGTATTTTTATCTATGTTCAACATAGATGTGTTTCATTTATTCTGTCTTTAACATGCTTTACAGGTTAGTAACTTGTTTACTATTCATACTTACATTTTATGAATCTTATGTCTGACAAGCTTTTTGCTCCCATACTTAGTTTCTTTCAATTGTTAACAGCAGAACTGAATAATCTTAACTAGTGTAGCAAAACACTGTACAGTGCTTCTAATAGTGCCTGGTGTATAGTAGGCAGCAAGTATTAGTTTCCCTCAAGATTGTTAGTTCTAGGGAGAACAAATGCAAAACATTAAATGTGTAACTGAAAGACCTCTGGGAGTAAGATTTTATGTCTTCATATAAACTCTGTAGCATATTATTTTTTCCCAAAATAGCCCACATGTTGTTCCAGAACCTTGATGCTCCTTCCATCAAAAAGTGTAGTCCTATTCCCCTTCTGCTGTGGACTGAATGTTTGTGTCCAAAAAATTCCTATGTTGAAACCTAATGCCCAAAGTGATGATACTAGGAGATAGGGCCTCCGGGAGGTGATTAGGTCATAAGTGTGGAACCTTCATGAATAGGATTAGTGTCCTTTGTTTTTTTTCTTTTGCTGTTCAGTTGTGTGAGTTCTTTATACCTTTTGGATGTTAACCTCTTAGTGTATATGTCATTGAAAATATCTTCTCCTATTCATTAGGTTGCATTTTCATTTTGTTGCTGGTTTTCTTTGCTGTGCAGGTTTTTAGTTTAAGTTTGCTTATTTTTGCTTTTGTTGCCTTTGCTATGGTGTTAGATCCAAAAAATCATCACTTAGACTGTTAAGGAGCTTATCACCAATATTTTCCTCTGGTTTTACAGTTTCACGTCTTAGGTTCAAGCTTTTTTTTCCTATTCTGTACATTATATCCCTGTGTCTTACAACTGTTTCTTTTTTTATTCCCCTTCCCCTATTTTGCCCATCCCCCTACCCTCTCCCCTCTAGTAGCCACCAGATTGTTCTGTTTTAGATTATACATATTAAGTGAAATTATGCAGTATTTGTCTTTCTCTCTTACTTCACTTAGCATAGTACCTTCTATGTCCATCCATGTTGTCATAAGTGGCAAGATTTAATTCTTTTTATGGCTGAGTAATATTTTGTTGTATATATGTGCCACTTTATTCATTTGTCAATTGATGGGCACTCAGGTTGCTTCCATGTCTCGCTATATATGATGATAAATGATGCTGCAGTAAACATAGGGGCATACAATCTTTTTAGTGTTTTCATTTTGGAATAGCTGGGTAGTATGGTAGTTGTATTTTTAATTTTTTGAGGAATCTCCATTCTGTTTTCCGTAATGGCTGCCTCATTTTGCATAACTACTAAGTGCACAAGATTTCCTTTTCTCCTCATACTTGCCAACTTTTATTTCCTTTTCAGTAATAGCCATTCTGAGAGGTGTGAGGCAGTTAACTCATTGTGGTTTTGATTTGCATTTCCCTGATTAGTGATGTTGAGCAGCTTTCATGTGTCTGTTGGCCATCTGAACGTTCTTTGGAAACATGTTGTTCTCTGCCTGTTTATTATTTGGATTGATATTGTTTTGTGAGTTTTTTATATACATTTTGGATGTTAAATCTCTTACCAGATATGTCACTTCCAAGTATCTTCTCCCATTTAGTAAGTTGCTTTTTATTTTGTTGGTTTCCTTTGGTGTGGAAAAGCTTTTTAGTTTGATGTAGTCCCATTTATTTTTTGTTTTACCTTTGCATGAAGTAAAAAAAAAATATTGCTAATGTCAAAGAGCTTATTGCTTTTTTCTAGTTTTTACATTTTAAGTCTTTCATCCCTTTTTTAATTTATTCTTGTACAGTTCAAGAAAGTGGTCGTTTCCTTTTGCTTGTAGCTGTCCAGTTTCCCTACTACCATTTATTGAAAAGACCGTCTTTCCCCATTGTACATTCTTCCTCTTGTCAAAAATTGACCATATTAAGTGCAGGTTTATTTCTAGACTCCCTATTCTGTTCCATTGATCTACATGTCTGTTTTGTGCCAGTAACCATGCTGTTTTATTACACCTTTGTAATATAGTTTGAAATCAGGGAATGTGATACCTCCAGTATTTCTCAATATTGCTTTGACTATTTGGGGATTTTGTGGCTTCATACAAATTATAGGATTATTTAATTTCTGTGAAAAATGGCATTGAGATCTTGATAGGGATTGAACTGAGTCTCTATGTCTTTGGGTAGTATGGACACTTCAACAATATTAATTCTTCCAATCCAACAGCACGGTATAGCTCCAATTTATCTGTGTTGGTCTTCAGTTTCTTTCATCATGTCTGATAGTTTTCAGCATACAGGTCTTTCACCTGGTTGGTTAAACTTATTCCTAGATATTTTATTCTTTTTGATGCAATTGTAAATTGTATTGTTTTAATTTTTCTGATAGTTCATTATTAATATATAGAAATAAAACCGATTTATGTATATTTGTATCCTGCAACTTTACTGAAGTTATTTATTAGTTGCAATAGTTTTTTGGTGGAGTCTTTAGGGTTTTCTACATGTAATATAGTATCATCTGCAAATAGTGACAGTTTTTACTTCTTTTCCAGTGTGGTTGCCTTTTCTTTCTTTTTCTTGTCTGATTGACATGGCGAGGTGAAAGTGATGGGGGGGGGGGCATACTTGTCTTGTTCTTGATCAAGGGCTTGGTCGAGCAAGCCCTTTATCTGGGGGAAAAACTTAAACCAGGACAAGATGATTAACCTTAATCATTTTCCATAGGACATAGGGAGAAAATTTTGGTTCTGGAGATGTTACCAACGGGGATTTGTATTCATTAAAAAAAAGAAATCTCTTTGGGCAAATGTTTCATAACTTAAAAAGCATGTCAAAATGCTCTAAGAAAAAAGATTTCTGAACTCCACTTAAGACTTACTGAATCAGAATGTGATTGAGGGGATGAGCAAAGTCTAAGACTCTGCATTAAGATGCACAAGAGAATCATATGCATATAGAAGCATGAGAACTGCTTTAAGGGAAGATCTCTGTTTAGACCTAGAAATTCCTGCCAACCTTTAAATGCATAGAAATAATCCTAACTTTAGAAGAGAAGTATATAAGGGCAAGTCTTAAATAGTGAAATCATATATTCAAAAATCCCTCTCAAGTCTGCCCCACTAACCCAGTAGACTGGATAGTCTTGATATTCAGATGATTTAGAGAAAAAAAGTAAAAGTAGCAAAACTTTGAAAACCCTCAGTTAAGTTCATTCTTGGTCTTCTTTTCCTAAATTTGCTTTCAATTCCATTAGATTTAATTACTAAACAAGACCAAAAGAGAATTTTATTTTATATGATTTTATTTTACATTTAGAACCATTTTGTGCTTTACTTAAAATAAAAAAAAAAAAGACTCTGCTTTTAATATTCCTAAAAGCATTTTAACCAAAATCTTGATTTAGGAAAACTTAAGACATTGTGCATATTTTAAATATTTTCATTCTTTCAATAACTATTAAAAATATGTTCACCATTAGGGTTTCAAATGTCCTAATCATATCTAGTTTGTCAGTCCCATCATGTGCATACAGAAGTTAAGGTGATATAGAAATTTTATCTTTCAGACACACTGATAATAATCAGCTCTTAATCTAATTACTATTTCATTTATTCAGAAATAGCATTTATACATAAAAACCAATGCCTCACTTTGTAAAATAACCTTGGGTTAAGTTACACAAATCTAATACAACATGTGTATTTTAAGTAATACAATGAGTTTCACTATTATCATTTTAGTTTTTAATATTGTGTCAGCAGGGCTGAGAGTATCACATGGTTCAGTCTTTTGAAGAAGTTATATAATAAAAGCACAGTGCCTTTGAACATGGGAAAACATCTCAAAGGCTAGGAGTCCTATAAAGGAACTAAAAGGTAGGAGAGATTCCAAAGACTTTCTCTAATAATGTTCAGTATGTAAAGTGACCAGTTTAAGTCACTATTGAAGATTAGTGAAGAAAACTGTTCTTTATTATGCTATTAAATAAAGCACTAAAACCACAAGAATTTAGAAAGATTGGTCCTAGGCTACATAATTATAAGTGAATTAACTTCCTATGCCAAGTAAGGGTCACACTTCACTTCTCCCATTTGTAAAAAGAAAAGGTGGCCTGGCCATTGCCATTCAGGATTCTCTGCTAACTGTAAAATGTAAACTGATTTTCCTCTGTTTCTTATAGTCCATGTATATATATAAACTTTCAGTTGTTTAAATCAAAAAATTTTATGCACATAACAGTGTTAGTGTATTACCCTTGGTTTAAACATGTACAACTACGTAAATAAAAACTATTGTTTCTTCAATATTACTTGACATTTCTTCTGTAATTTCTTTATTTAAAAAAGTATATGTAACAAGATACTTAAAAAAGGCTAGATACAAAAGTAGTTAAGCTGCTCACGAACATTTAAAATTTTCCAAAATGTATCTTCAATAAATCAGGATCTTATAAAACATTTTACAGTTATCAAAAAGTACCCAGGCAGAGTTTACATAACTGACATACCTTAGTACAAGTATCTAGTTAGAACTGAAGTGCAGTAACCTCCTGACTGCTCATTGAAATAGGGATACAAAGAAAAAAAACTGTGATAAAATATTGTGCATTGGCCCCATATGTACAAAAAAAGTGCCCTCACTCTAAGGTACAAATTACATGCAAATATTAGTGATATCATTTAATATTCTAGAGCTCAATGCAGCCAGAATAAACTGCAATAAAAGTGGTTTTTATAGGTAAAAGTGATTTCATCTCTAAGATTAGAATGTCCAGAACTCTTCACAAGTTCCATATACGTGATACACAATTGCAGCCAACCCCAAATTAAACACCATTAAAAAAAGTTAAAATGAAAACACAAAACATACTTAACTTTTTATTTTGAAATTCCCTATTCCCTCTATACAAGAACCTTTTCTGAAACACTTTACACAAAGGCAGCAGTGAATTTTCATAACATTTTACATTTTTTCCCCTCAGCAAAAAGATAAATCATAATGTAAATTATGTTGTTCTGCTGTCATCTTTGGCTGGGGTTAGAACCAGAAGTTGTTGACTAGCAAACCATTATAGTCAAATGTTACCAGTGCTTCTCTGGCCTTTAAGCTACAAACTCAGCAAGGAATGTTTGCATTTAATCTCTTTAAGGTACCACCAGGGGGTGTGACAGCATTAACTTCCATAAACTTTTATAAACAAATGGGAAAAAAAAAATCTACAAAATTAGCTAGTAATACACACTTTTTATACTCTACACAAAACCAAAATTCTTGGTCTTAATGGCAAGTAGCAACTTCTGTTTGAGAATCTATTTAGAGGAATAGAGTGGGACATAAAGTCGAGAAATGCAAGTATTTGTAGTAGGAAGGTGTTGGTCATCTGGTGGTCTTACTGTGATTGAGGGCATAGGCTGAAATCCTTCTTCACTGGCTGGTAATGATGGCCTTGATGTCCAAAAATAAACCTAAACAGGAATATAATAATAACAATTCTGGCTTTGAATATATTAACATTCAACCCTTAATTCTAGTAATTACATATAGAGAGCCCCATTCTTGTGTTGAAACCTAAAAGGGGTATTATTTCGAACTGGGTTTTAAATTTTATTTCTTGTACTGAAAAGGGAAGGTTCAGGGTCAAAGAGAAAATTACCAGGTATATAGAAAAGTGACTCTCTTTCTGGGTCTGTTTCTCATCTGTTACAGAAGGCTGTTGGACCAAATGTTCTTCTCTAAGGGCCTTTCCAGTAGCAAAATCCCTACAGTATATCTTAGTGGAAATGAGGCACAGAGTCTCCCCCCAAAAAGGTTCAAAATTCATGCACAGTTATCAAACAAGTTTTTTGCACTTTATCTATTGCAAAATAACCCAGTATTGTCTGTGCTGCACTGTGATACACATTTTACTATAGTAATTAAGTGTTGGGGAGAATCTATTATAATCTAAATCCATGCAAGAAGCCATATTACTATTGAGTTCTACTACACAGCTATTTTGTATGGTACAGTGTAAATAAGAATGTTAACTTCTACTTATGATAACCAAGGATACACTTTCCTAAAATATTTTTACTACTACATACCATTCCTCATGGATCCATATATATATACACATACATACATATACACCATTCTTCAGAAATAGTAAGATACTGCCTAGCTCTTAAGATAAAACCTTTTAAGTCTAATGCATCTATAGTACATTAATATATATATATATGCAATATCCCAAAGTAACTAGAAAACCAAAAAACATAATTTGTTATTCCCTGAGCATAGTTTTATGAGAACTCTCATCTAGAATTCCACAAAGAGGGCAGAAAAAGAAGCCCTGCTAAGTGTCAGGATCTTCAAAATCGTCAAAGAACTATAAAAGGGCTAGAAGGTACTCAAAAGATAAAGCTCATTGTATCCACTGGTCCAGTCCACTCACTTTAGAGGTGTGTTTCTCCAGAGGCAAGTGGGATTAAACAGGGCAGATGACTACATTGCTGGACCCCCAACAAAACCGGGTTTTTTTTCAGAACTTTTATGAGTGAACTGTAACTCTCCAAGGGGGAAATGAACTATGCAATGTTACCCACTAACCGTAGAAACCCTGTAATTTGCACGATTAAATTCAAGGGAGAATAGTGTGGGAAACCCTGTTATATTCTTATGTCTTTCAGCTCTTCCCCTCAGACACAGCAGGATAAAACCAACAATATGTGAAGGATAACCTACCAACAGAAGAAGGGGAGAAAGAGGGCAAAAGACATCTCAAAATACTGCCTAAACTCTTAAGGACAGATTTTTCTATCAGAGTTTAAGGAATGAAGCTCACCAACTAAAGCTGTTGAGGCCCTTACAAAGGGAGATTTTAAAAAACTGAATTTTTCTTCCAGTAGAAGGCAGAAAATTTAATTCGTAAGATTTTACTTGATTGACTGGACTAAGGATGCACTGGTTTACATACAGCTAAAAATTAGGGAGTAGACAAAAATATACCTTAGAATGTATATTAGCCAATAGCCAATCATTTCTATTTGCTGTTTGGTAGTTCTTTATCTTAAGAAAACACAATGAATCCAAAGATTGATTATAGGTGTTAGAACACTAAATAGGGAGAGATAAGGAATTTGCAATCGGTAGGAACTCTAGGGTCCACAAGACTGAGATAAAGTCTAATTAATACGGAATTAAGCATGTCTAACAGGAGCAGCCAACATGTGTCAAGCACTATAGGGGGAAAAAACATGTCTCAGCAATAAGCTGGAATTATACTCTGGGACTAAAGACAGCACATTAATAGTTAAGATGTATTTCATTCTACTTACAGCTTTATTAATACCTCAGGTGTTTTATTCTAGAGTAGAAAACCAAAACTGTCCTCTATTTCTGAACTACAATCTCCTTAGCCAAAATTAAAATGACAAAACATTACAAACTTAAAAAGCTGTTATCATACACAGTTCTACAAATTTTGTGAAATTTTAAACTTACAAGATCTTGTCTTTCTGTCATGCTCATCTTCTCCACTATTGATCAGAACCAACACTTGAACTGCAAGAGCTTCTCAGCATTTTCTCCTAAGAATGAATACAAATCCAACATACTATATCAGTTTTTATTTTAGAATATTTTTTATAAAAATAAATATAAAATTAAAATGTTATTTAGGATGGGGATTTTTAATTCCTAATACAAGAAATAAAGACAACTTGCATATTATAAAACCATATCAATAATTATCAGTCCTGACTCAAGATAACCAAAACAAGAATTAACCACCAGCCTCAAATTGATAATCATGACTTTAACCCCACCTGTAATTTATGATTCTTCTATAAATCATGATTCTTCTCATGACCTTAATCTACTGCTTCCCAAATTTTAATGAGTTTACAAATCACTTGGGAATTTCTTAAAAATGCAGATTCTCATTCACTAGGTATGGGGGAACGAAGGGACCAGAGATTCTGTATTTCTAAAAAGATTCCAAATGATGCCAATACTGCTTATTATCTGAGGATCATCACTGGAGTATCTTCAGATATTTTTTCCTCTTAGACTTTTGGTATGAGATAAATTCTTACCTCACAAGTATTGAAAACTCTATTTAAAAGCATAAAAACTATTATACAATGATGTCTCTGTGTTGTCAAGCATGAAGAAAAAACAATTTATCCAAATTTAACTATAATTTGAGCTGTTTGCTAAGCATAAAAGATAAAGGGGGAAAAAAAACTAGTACCTTCATGTATACAATAATCTGGGCCATAGGCAAAATACTCTTATAATGAGTGCTTGTACCTCTACTGTATAGTCACAGCTAGCAAGTCTGTTCCTAAACTACTGGACTCAGAAAAGAAAGAACTGCAGTAAATCAAGCATTGAAGGTAGACATTATTCTAGGGAGATTATCCCTACCTCTGGGTATTCTAGAGTCTCCATGTTTTTGTGTGCTTTGGGTCCAGCTCTGCAAACCAAACATCATGCAGTCAAATTCTTTAATGAAAATCAGGAAGGACCAACAAACAGAATTGTCATATGGATTTTTTAAAATTAGTATATAAAAATACCTTTTATAGTTGCTCACCACAAAAATGTTTTACTTATATTTACACCAAACCATCTATTATTTAAAACCCTGAAAAATTGAGCAATAAAATAACCTAATGCCAAGCTGTTAAGAGTTCAATGGTTTTAAAAAAATATTTTTAACACCTGAGTAATACAGCATTTCCCAAGCCCTATACATATTTAAGAACCAGAAACTTATAAAATGCCTAATCTATGTAATTTATTCCTTAAATAAACATTTAAAAAAATCATACCTGATTCATTATTGAAAGAGGTGAAACTGATCAGCATTTGCACATTAACTTCCCCACAGCCATTTACCAAAAGTCTAAAGTCTTCTGCTGTTAAATCTTCTAATGAATTTTTGGAAAGCACATCCAATAGACCTTTCCTCATTGCCTAGAGAACTTCAAAATTTACCCTTTTATTACTATCAGTACATTATTTTCCATGTAGCATTTATTGTTGAAGTCTAATATCTAATTTTAGCAGCCTAATACTACTAATTCTCATTTTAAAAGTTCTATATTTTGGATTTCTTATTGACTGATTCAAAAGAGGTGGCAAAAAAAAGCACACTGTAAATAGGCTATAGGTTCAAAAGTGAAGATACATTGAATTAATTGAATTTTAAAAATTATGTTAATAACAGACTGGTCATTAAATAAGAATAGTTTTAATTTGTCAAAAATATTATCATCTTGTCAGCATCCTCGGAAAGGTATGATAATGACAAAAACAAATGTCCCAGACATAAACCCCAAATCTAGAAGCTCACAGAGAAATTGCCAAATGCCAAGAACTCTTCTAAGCACCTTACATGTATTAATACACTTAATCCTATCCTCATTTTACAGAGGAGGGAACCAAGGCGCAAAGTACTTAAGCAGTTTACTAGTGTTATTCAGCTAGAGGGTGGTGCAGCCATGATATGAGCCCTGACAGTATGATTCTAGACCCTACATGGATCAGAAACACTTTAATATTTTACCATAGGAGAAAGTTAACATAGCAGACCAGGCCTGATGTTAGGCTCTTTAGAAGGGCCTGATTGAGGGGATGGTCCTTGCCTGGCACCTAGAAATTGGTTTTTGTATTTTCCCTATATTACTAATTGATGTGGCTATTTTGTTATGCCTGAGGTAATGAACCTTGTTGTACCAGCTTGCCTAGACTACTTGTGCAAACAATGTTGTTTTATAATGAACATGTGCTTTCTTCTAGAAATCTGAATTTCAGTAATCATGGCTGGCTGCACAGGCAGAAAATGCTTATGGGACTGGACTCCAATAAAAACCCTGGGCTTTGACTATCAAGCAGGTTTCCCTAAGCACAAACACTCCAACACTCTGCTGTAATTCACTGCTGGTGAAGTGTGTTCTTTGTGACAACCCATTCCCCCAGAGAGAACTTTGGAAGCCTGCATATGGATCCTCCACACTTGGTCTGATGCATTGTTTTCCCTTGTTGAGAGTCCTTTTGCTATTATCATACCTATGAGTACAACTGCATCTGAATCTTAGGAGTCCTTCTACTGGGTCACTAGGAGTATGGTTGGTTGTAGGACCCCAAACAGTCATCATTTCAGTCCCATAAACATCCTTCCCAAACTTACTTTCTGATGATTATATGATTTTTCCAAGTAGCCTGCTCAAAAGAAAAGAAGTACTCAGTTTGCATTCAGGTACAATTTACACTGTACATAAATACATTTTGGTTGAAAATTTTTGACTTTCTATAGACAAGCTGAATATGCTCCTAAGCTAGTTTAACCACACAGAAAGACACAAATAGCCTCATTAGAACACTTTCCAGAACACACTTACATGTAATGGCTGTTCTGCAACTATCAACATTCTGTGTTCTGCATATAGCCTCATTAGAACACTTTCCAGAACACACTTACATGTAATGGCTGTTCTGCAACTATCAACATTCTGTGTTCTGCATATTTCTGTACATACTCATAGACATTCTGGGGCGTGACTGGTATATTTACACCATTAGGAATAAGTTCAACTTGTAAAAAATTTAGCAGTACCATTGAAAAGCAATTTTGTCAAAACACTAGTAACAATTTTCTGAAATTTTTAAATCTAAAGACAATTCTATACCTTACCTAGGAAATACAAACATTTTTGGCCTAAATAAGCACAAAAGAACTAACTCTCCATCCATCTCCAAATCCCCCCACCACCCTCTCCTCCACTTCATCTACTTGTGTCTCTCCCTCTCTTGGTCCCAATCTATCTAAATTGTTTTTATGTAAGATAAGTACAACAGACAATTCTTTTGCCAGAATCAGAAAATTACATACTTGCTTTACCTGTCCCTCCACCCTCTTCTTTACACAGGTCAATTGCAAATGCCAAATCCATTGCAGAGAAAACAGCATCAGCATCTGAACTTTGAGAGGCGAGGATAAACTGCCACAAACTCTCATACATCACAGGGTCAAAAAAAGCAAAATCATGCCAGTTGACCTAAGAAAGTAATTATATAGAACTCAAAGAAATATCTTCACTGACCCCATTAGTAAATTAAAATCTATGACAGGAAAGTTTATCTAGTTTGAAGATATTTAGTGGAAAACTATTCCTTATTGGTATATTAGTAACTGATTTAAAGAGGTAAAATTTTAACAAACTTTTGTCTCTGATATGTTTTTCAAAATGTAATATATATTTTGAAAAAATTTAGAGCCAACAGTGTTAATAGTTTAAGTTCCAAAATAACCTATTTGCAAAAAAACAGCACAAATTATTAAACTGATTATGCTGAGCAGTTGCTCCCAAACTAAACATATATCCTATTTAATCTTGTCAATAATCATAAAATACAGATTGATTCCACATGGTAAATCTGATGCTCAAAGGAATTCAGTAACTTGACGGTCACATCATTGGGTTAAAATTTGAGTCTAATAACTCAATTTCATGATCTTTTCCATAAACCTTGTTAGAGGCTCAACATATCAACATTTCTATGTTGTTGAGCTTTCAATCCAGTTCTTTGCACAAGAACATTTACACAATAGGGTCAGAGTTAAAAAGAAAAGAAATATGATATGCTATATTAATAGAAAACTATTCACCAGTGTTTGATTAAATAAAATTATTAGTAGACTACAGCTTTAACAATGCCAAATCACTATCAGTTGTGTGGTGTGCATCTGGAAAAGACTGTAAAATACATTATTTTTTTGTTTCAAGTAACTTCTTGGTAATAAATACCTTTAACACTGGCAGATGTGTTTTAAATAAAAAGATGCAAAATTTTACATTAATTTTAAAGGATGTGATTTTCCCCCCTCCCCCAATCATAAAGGAATGCACAGTAAGTCAAACTACCAAAACACAAAAAAGAAAATACGTTAATTCTAATCAAGCATGCTCTGTTATATTCTTTTGTCTCCTCTCCCCACTATACATCTTAACATATATTTTTGAATCTGGAAATGCACTTCTCAATACAATACTACTTCTGTCTCCACTACCAACAGAACAAACAAAGTCACTAACTGTATTCTGTGTATAAGTTCAAGAGTCTGTTTTTCAAGTTGACAATTTATACTTTGCTCTTTCTTTAGAAGAGGCATATGGGAAGACGGGTTTTAACAAGTCTTTCTCATAACTCTACAACTTCTCCAGGATACATTTGCCCAGTAAATATAAAATGAAAATAGGTTACTGAGAGCAAAATTATGAGGCTGTGAAAGGAATAGGTACACAAAATTACTATTTGACTACCAATGCCCACTGTTACACTAGTGGGAAAATTTAAATTTCTCAAAACAATGGCAGGCTAGCTGGCTTTAAATATCATAGCTTCTGGATGGTATCCAGAGAGAGACTACAGCTGTTTCTACAAATGTATGAATCTTAAGTATTTGTAAATGTGTGGCAGAAGCCAGTTGGCATGACTGGGAAACTGGTCATTCATTTACTTTAACATCTCAAATTGATAAAGGTATTTTATCCTTAACATCAAGAATCATATAACACCAAGAATTCCTATAGGAATTTTCAGTTTATTTTCAGGAGGAATAACTGGCTTAACACCAGGAATCATACCAGCAGAGGACCATAGATATAGGAGAGGCTAGGTGGGGGGGATAGTCAGGAGATATGGAAAATAAAAGAAGACAGGTAACTTCTAAATTCCAAATGAAAGGGAACAGCTTGAGGAACTTGCCCAAGACACTGAACACTGTTAAAGCAGAGAGAAGCCAAGGAAGTGACATGAGACTCTGAGAGAAATCCAAGGACCCAGGGTGATGGCATTTAACAAACAGTAGCTGGCAAACAAGTTTAATGCAACTTTTAAACCTAAGTCAGCAGAAGCCCTGCCAGTAACAGCAAGCAGAGAAAGTAAAATTAGTACTTGAATGGTTGTTCTTTAAAAGCTAAATTCTACAGAATACTCCTACTGTAAGGATTACTTCTTAACCTGGTCCTCCCAAAAAGGCATAGTCAACTTTAGCTTTCAACTCTGTATACACATGCTACGGCAACAGATGGCAGGTAAAATGGGGGATAATACTGCAGGATTCTGGCTCTCAGGAAAAAACATAAACAAAACAAATAAAACCCAATGATTTTCAAAACTGTCTTCAAAAAGGGAAGAGATTGGTCATGAAACAGTATTTTTTTTGCTTCCTCCACCCACTGACACAGGGCTCTTTAATGGGAAATGTAAATTTTTATGCAAGTCTCAGACATTTCTTTTGCCATTAGCAATCAGCAAAACCATTTCTAAAATTCTCATTATTCCTTCAGTGAATATTGTTATATGGCATTTCAAAGAACCACAAGGGACCCAAGAAATGTGAACTCACCAACTAAATGTGAAGTTTGAATTTTGGCCCTTCAGGAATTTTCAGTTTATTTTCAAGAGGAATTGGAAATGCTCTATTACGATTACAAAATTTCCCCAAAATGTGAACATGTGGCATATATGTCCAAACAGATTCTACTAATTCCAAATGAGAAGTTTCCACACCCTAGAAAATAATGCAAAGCAAGCATTAAAGAACACCATTAATTTAACATTCAAAGGAGCAAGCCCTACTACAAAGACACAGTAATCAAGACAATTTAGTACTGGCACAAGAACAGAGCCACAGACCAGTGGAACAGAATAGAGACTCCAAACATTAACCCAAACATATATGGTCAATTAATATTCGATAAAGGAGCCATGGACATACAATGGGGAAATGACAGTCTCTTCAACAGATGGTGCTGGCAAAACTGGACAGCTACATGTAAGAGAATGAAACTGGATTATTGTCTAACCCCATACACAAAAGTAAATTCGAAATGGATCAAAGACCTGAATGTAAGTCATGAAACCATAAAACTCTTAGAAACAAACATAAGCAAAAATCTCCTGGACATAAACATGAGTGACTTCTTCATGAACATATCTCCTAGAGCAAGGGAAACAAAAGCAAAAATGAACAAGTGAGACTACATCAGGCTGAAAAGCTTCTGTACAGCAAGGGACACCATCAATAGGTACCCTACAGTATGGGAGAATATATTCATAAATGACAGATCCGATAAAGGGTTGACATACAAAATATATAAAGAGCTCAGGCACCTCAACAAACAAAAAGCAAATAATCCAATTAAAAAATGGGCAGAGGAGCTGAACAGACAGTTCTCCAAAGAAGAAATTCAGATGGCCAACAGACACATGAAAAGATGCTCCACATC